AAAAAACTCCAATTCTTTTACTTAAGCATCGGAGTGCCCACGCCGGGTAAAGTAGTCTGGGTACTGGGTACTCTGATCCTCTTTCTTTCTTTATAGCTCGACCAAGCGACCTACATAGTTCGGCGTCTGAGCTGTCCGGAGCTTCCAAATCATGCACCATCAGGTACCATTGCTGTTGGTGCCACATGGATATTTTCCAATGCCATGTTAGCGTACTGTTTTGCTCAAACTACACCTTTCTCGATTTCTAAGGCATGATCTGAGAAAATATTTCTCCTTTGAAAAAAATTCATAATGAAACATCAAGCATTGTCTGAAAAACAGATTTTAGACATGGTGCTAATGTGGCATATTTTTCAAAGAAGCAACATCGTTCTAAAGCACCTACTAAATCAATCCTGAAATCCATTCCCATGTATCACATGCAAATCCAAATCCCTAAGGTGGTTGCATCTGAAATAATCTCTCTCAAGAGACTTTTGGTGCAATGGTACAATGGATTCAAAAAATGCTTATCTGAAGCATGGAACTCAGTTTTGCACCCAAAGAAGATTGATGGGTTGGGCCTTGTTGATGTTGAATGGAGAAACAAGTTTCTGCGAAGAAGAAAACTCCCTTTAAGTTAGGCTGTTAAAATCTAAATACCTCACTAATCATTCATTTGGAGTGTTATCAACCCTAAGGAAACACATTCCGAACCTAGGCGGGCTTACTTGACTCGAGAGATTTTGAGAAAGGGGTGTAAATGGATCGTTGGGGATATATGGTTAGATTATATAAATGTCTTATAAGATCTGTGGCTACCCACTGAAGTGCTTTTGTAATTCTGTTTGATAATACCTCTTCTAATTCAACTAGAACCTGGTAGGTTGCAACCTTCATCAACCTTTCTGATATGAGCTGATGGAGAGATCTTCTTAGACAGGTGTTCTGTGTTCACATCTACCACGGCTGATTCCATATTATTACAAGTTTGGCTTCCCCTACCATCATCTATTATGTTAGACTAGTTTGGGCCCCAAATCCATATGGTTGTTTCTCCACTACTTCTTGTTTGAAGTTATTTTTTATAATGGTCTCTGGATTCCTCTACTGGACATACCATTGGGGTGATCTTACCTAGAAAAATCGATCTGTGGAAGTATATAGAGAAGGATCTCACATTTATTTAGTAAAAGAGTTAAAATATATCCTAATTTTAGTGTACCATGGGTTATTAAAAATGACTTAAATATACCTTTTTTACCCTTATCTTATACTGTTTGAATGAAAAGATAATGTACCCTTCATTGACAAGTGAAGTAGGATAGTCTTCTACCTTGAGACACCACCTTCACCAGAATCAAACTCCATTGCCTTGTAGACATAAAAGGTGCCTACCTTCTTTGACATCAGGGTTCCGATGGCTACTGATTCTTGCAAATTTGAGGAATCTAACAATGAAACGATGAGAAGGGGAAGTCTTGATCGGTGGGAAGTAGCATGGTTTTTAAAACCGATTTGGAGATTGAACCGGTCAGGGGTCCGGTTACCGGGTCGAACAGTCCGATCGTTCGAACTGAATACTCGGCTCGTTCTAATAAAAAATTAAAAAATTAAAAAAATAAAAAAAGGTCAAAACTGTTGGAACGGTTTAAACAGTTAATCGCCTGATTCAGCGGTTCACTGACCAAAATCAATGATTTTATGGGAAAATTCAATTTTTGGAAAAAACGAAACTGACCACCTGACCGATTCCCGGTTTTTCTGGTCTGATCATCCGGTCCGACCCGATTTTGAAAACCATGGGAAGTATTCATTTTAGGAACTTCCTCTGTTGGCCCCTATTTCTTTGAGTGTTTAGGGTTTCAACTATCATCTGTTATCGTTATTGTTAAAGGGGATATATCTGGCAGGAAAGGATATACAGTTATAGCAATTTGAGGGATGGGTCTTCGTCGCTTGGGATGGAGTCGATTGAAGGTTTGAAGAAATAGTTGGGCTTCTTCAATTTACGATTTCAAATTCATTGTAATCGGTGTGCTGAATATTTGTTGTGAGTTTTGTGACACCTAAGAAATTTAAGGAAGGTGGTTCAGACATTTCCTCTAATGGGTCAGACCAGATCTGCTCCTCACACAGGGCGCTTCACTCGTGCCTCACACCCACATCGTGCCATGCAGCAGGGTGAATGTGCATGTGAGGCGCCCCCGTGTGAGGAGCAGATCCCGTTCCCTAATGGGTGGGTGTCATCCGTTTCTTTAAACCCAGAATTTGATTTGCACGAGTTAACTGGGCAAAGAAGGTCAAAATAGGACTTTAAAAAATTTAGAGGGTTCAAGTGATGTTATATGTTAACGGCTTAATTTTTATGTTTTATAATGGTGAATATCTTTTAAGTCCATTAGAATTAAGTCAATTTATAAAATTTCAAGGTATATTTTCACCACGATATGCTTACTAATTGTAGGTAGGGATCTCCTAAATTATGTTCATTCCAGATGAACGGTGATTGTGGTCCAATATAATTCAGAACGTAACCACAACTATACATAGGAAAACAATTATGAGGATTCAAAACTAATATTTTCATTTTGAAAAGGAGGTGGTAGGGTTATGGAGCATAACCACCACAAATCTTTGGAGGATTTATGACTGATTGTTTTTTTTTTTTTTTTAAATCACCCATAGGCGTCATATTTCATTCAATCAAGAAATTGATATAAAAGATGCCAAAAATGCCAGTAAGAAAAACCCAGAAACAATTTCTCAAAAAAAACAAAATAAGAACTGGATGAAGAAGAACATAAAGAATTTCTGCAGTCAAATAACAGTGAATAAACATCACCAACAAAAGTAGAAAGTAGAAAAGCATATCTCCAATCCACAATGCGAGCAAATCTGCAAGTAGAATTCCAAACGGCTGCCATTGACGGAAATACAACGAACAGATCTCACCATCATTTGCTGGAAAACCATGAACAGAATAAAACCTTAAGAAAACTCAAGAGGAAACCTTTCTCAAAACAGAGGGAGGGCGAGAGGAAAACAGAAAAAACCCAAGAAGGAGAAGAGCCCAGATGGGCGGCTCCCTTAAGCCCGAAGGAAGCCGCCCTCAAATTCCTTTGAGAGCACCCTAGGGTTTAGTTATTTATGACGGATAGACCTTTATGGACTATGATACACAACTAATATTTATCAAATTTCAAATGCTTGGTTGAGGTGTTTTAGCTTAACCTTGACTTGGACTCTCTAATAGTCTCATCTTTGAAATAACTTCAATATTACCAAAATAATCCTAACATATTAATAGTAGAAAATAGATTAACGGATCTATATAATTATGGGAATGTATTATAGCTTTGAAATAGCGAGACCAATTTTAATTGTTTATAATCAATAATAAGATTGTTCCTGTCTTCAATTTTAATTCATTCATTTATTCCTTGTTTCTTTCCCTTTTTTTTGGGATTTTGTTTCTACTTGGAGGTTATACCCTTTTAATTTTTTGTTTCCACTCGATCAGAATCTGTTTTTTCAGCTTTAATTAGAAGGTGATTTCATGAACGGAGAATAGCTGATGAGGTACTGCTTTAGCATATAAACGGTAGTGATCAATGGTAAAAGATCATTTAATCCTGGATTACCCACTGGATTCTTACTCAAAAGTTTTTAGGGTAGATTAATCAAATCAAAATACGTTAAGAAGATCTTGTTTCATGGACAACCCTGTCTTTATTGAATATCACTATAGCTTTAAACTGCATTTAATTTGCTGCTTTTTATAATAGGCTCTCTTTTCTTGGGGGTTCTTTGTGTAATAAATTGATAAACTTCTAGAAAGGGGTCAATGTGACAATATGTAATGGACAGTTATCCATTCTTATAGTCCTTTTTAATGATATTCAACACCATTAAATATCTTCCGATGTTAGATAATATTTGCCTCTTAAGGTGTAGATGGTAGGGGTTTACGGGTTGGTTCAGTTTTGGTCAGTTTATAAATGGTTAAATCAATTTAGCCAAAAATAATAGAAAATTGATCAATTCAGATTGAATTGAGTCAGATTGATCATCAATTTCATCGGTTTGATAATAGATGGAATGAATTGCTTTCGCTCTCTTTTTGGTTTCATCTTTATTTCTAGATGGATTTAGTTGTTCTTTGAATTTGCATCAATTGACATGAAAATACCATTTACAAATTATGGTTTTGGATGGAGTTGTTGAATTCATAAATGTATAATTTTATCCCCTTTTTAATAGAATGATTGTCTCTTTAGGAGAAATCCAAAATTCCTTTGAGAGCGCCCTAGGGTTTCGTTATTTCGCTAAATCCCAACACAATCTGATGCATAGGAGAAATGCTACCTTTCACTATTGAGTGCTTAGTATTAGAACAATGCTTAGGTTGTATTTGATACCATTGCCGTTTCTGTCGTAAACATTTTGCCATAATTGATACAAATTGGTGAAAAATATATTGTTAAAATCAGATGTGACCAACCAGTGTATCAGTTGGTAAGACTTCTGGCTAGTTGTAGCGTGTAGCCCCACAAAATAAAGTAACGTCACATGCGAGAGTCACTCCCATGTAGGCATGGACTTGATGCAATAACATTTTGCAAGTAAAAACTCCGCACACACTCTAAAAGTAAAAGTAGGGGTATCGTCTCACATTGGGAATTTATCTCTATGAATTTAAGCATTCTCACCGAGTAACAGTAGATGGATTGTGCGATTTAAAAGGTTAGTTTTTAACTTTTTATCTTCACAAAAGTGGGGGCCAGTTTTTCCAAACATACGATTGATTCGTTTAACCACCAACTTAGATTGTGGGTAACCAAAAAGATACCAATCTGACCATGGAAAATCGCCGTCTCATGTGAGAGGTTCCTCATTGAATCAGAATCCTCCAATTTGAACAGAGTAAAACATATAGCACCTACACCGTCCAGTAGACTCGGTTGGATTGGTTCGTTCAAATCTGAAATCTCTGAGCTGCCCTGCCGTCACCATTCATGCTTTTGGGCATTTAATAGGAGAAATATAAGTCTTTACCAAAAAAAATTAAGACAGAAAGAGAGAGAGAGAGAAATTCAAGTCCACATTTAGACATAAATACCGGAATTAAAGGGGCCCAAATCCAAACAGTAACTCCTCTCACTCTCTCTCCTTGGTCCTTACTCATCGCTCTATAAACCATCCTTTTAATCTTCTTCCTTTCCGAACATTAGCCCACTCTCCATCTGTTTTCTTCTCCATTGGGGGGATTGCAAACGGAGCGAGAGATGGATCTCCGGTCTCATCACTCCGCTGCCATTGCTGCTGCAACGCTGCTGTTGATTTGTCTTCTCCACCCCGCAAAGGGCAATGTTGGGCGGCTGGGCCGCAGCGTCGGTCATGGCTGCAATTACTTCGAAGGCAGTTGGGTGTTCGACGACTCTTACCCTATGTACAACTCATCACACTGCCCCTTCATCGAGCACGAGTTCACCTGCCTCAAGAACGGCCGTCCCGATCATCTGTACCTCAATTACAGATGGAAGCCCACTGCTTGCGACTTGCCCAGGTATCATTCTTTTCTTTTCTTTCCTTTCCTTCTCTCTTCCTTTCTTCTCTCGTCTTTACGCCCCACCGCTGCCCTACACAGTACATACAGTTACAGAATCTGCCTTTCCTTTTCTTGGCCACCGACTCCATCTCCGTAGGACACCATTTGTCCCAACATGTAGGGTAGTAGCTAGGGTACCCCTTTTCTTGGTGGGTTCCCTATCTACTGGCCCAGAAAAGATTCCGATCCAATGGCTTTCATGTAGTGATGATCCCAAAGGAAGGGTCCTTTCCCTTTTCAATGTCGTGTGCAAATGCATGTGAACCATGACATAGATTCCCTGTCATCATGTGGCAAGGAATCTATGTCACAAATCACATACATTCACGTTCGCCACTTGGCATTTTTTTATTGGTAAACCGAATCATCATTTCGGTCCAACCAGCCTCTGACTGGTCCAAAATTAAGAACCGTTCATTTGGAATCCTCCACATTCCAGATTGAGATTGGTCGATCACTGACCAGTGGATTGAGTGATAATATTACTTCGCCTTTTTTCAGTGCAGGCTGTACTTACTAAATGAAAAAACTGTTTAATACTTTAATGTTGTATTTGATGGTGAAGGTTCAACGGTGAGGATTTCTTAATGAGATTTAAAGGAAAAAGCATAATGTTCGTAGGGGACTCGCTCAGCCGGAACCAGTGGGAGTCACTGACGTGCTTGCTTCATACTGCTGTCCCACATGCCAACTACACCCTGCAGAGACAAGACTCCCTCTCTAACTTCACATTGCCGGTGAGTTTGGTCAACGATTCAATCAATTTCTGTCGGACAGATTGGCACGGGCCCACTTCCCATCCCTCAATTCCCCATCCAGCCAATGGACCCAAACAGTGGGTTGTCAATTTGGTTCATGAATTTGGATTAGATGTGTATATGTAATGTAAATATATAGAAATGATAGTCTTCCATTGATTTCCCTTGATAGGTCCATGATTTGGGAGACCGGCGAATCAACCCCCACTGTAGAACATTGTGGGGGCTGATTTGAACTCATGATTTGGAATCATGGAAATGCTAGGAAAAGCCTAAAGCTTTTTAGGGGCACTAACAAATGGAAACATAGACCAGTGTGTATTAACAAGACAGCCCTTTATATTGGTAGAGAGGACCTTTCATTAAAATTACGTAAGCTCCTCTTTTAAGGGATATGAATCATATAGCACTATATAAGACTGTTTGATGAAGGAAGGAAGAATATAATGATAATTGGATCCCAATCTCAGACCCATTTGAACTCTACCCAGAGAGTCTGTGAATAGTATTAGTAGGGTGCAAGTCGAGCAGGGTTAGGTCGGGTTGATCAACCCTAATCCAATCCGAACTGTTCAACAACCCCCAACCATAACCCTAATGGGTTGGATTCTGGCCCAATTCCTCTATTTTTTTTTTTTTTTTTGTTTTGTCAAATATTCCTATTTCCTGTGTTACTTCAATTTTAGGATTATTATGTGTAAAACAATATAGTTAGCATGTTTCAGAAAAATGACTTTTTTTAGAAAAATTAAAGTAAAAAAATACATAAATATATACATATTTGAATGCATAATTCTATATATAATTTTTACATGCATACATATATATACACACAATACTTCAATACAAAAAGAACATATTTATATAGATATAACAAAACATGTATTTATACATAAAAATATGAAATTAAATTGGGTTGACCAATAAATACCTCAACCCTAACCTAACCTAACCCGAAGTTAATCAGGTTCATACTTTTCAACCCTAACCCAAACTTTAACCCAATACATACCAACTTCGCTTTTTTGGGTTGGATTTGGGCTAAACCGGCCCAAGTTGCAGCCCTAATGAATAATAAGCTACACTTTAATTAGCACTGTTTGCTAAGAAATTAAACAACTTGATAGAAGTTTGGCAGGATTATGGAGTTTCAGTGCTGCTACTTCGTAATGTGTTTCTGGTAGACGTTGTAAGCGAAAAGATTGGTCGAGTTCTGAAGCTGGATTCCATCGAAGGAGGCGAGGCATGGCTAGGCATCGATATGTTGGTCTTCAACACATGGCATTGGTGGAATCGCAGAGGCAGCACCCAACCGTGAGAACTACGTACTCCTGGAAACCCCATTCACATATTCCCTTCAGATAGCATTCAACCATTCATTCATGACTCAGTTGGTGTGGTTTAATTTTCAGATGGGACTTCATTCAAGTGGGGAACAGGATTTACCGAGACATAGATCGTTTGCTTGCTTTCGAGAAAGCACTTATTACCTGGGCTGGATGGGTAGACGACAACGTTGATCCCACAAAGTCTCTAGTCTTCTTTCAGGGGATTTCTCCATCACATTACAAGTAAGGCTCTAGACACACTGAGCTGAGTAGCTAATAGCTAACTAATCGATAAATTAATTTTCATGTTTTCTAAATATACATATTGATGACTGAATTATCAGCGGTTCTGGGTGGAACGAGCCGAGTGTGAAGAGCTGCCATGGACAGACGCAACCTGTGAACGGGTCTACGTACCCAGGAGGTTCACCTCCGGCCTTGGACGTGCTGAAGAGTGTGTTGAGGAAGATGGTGAAGCCTGTGTACCTGCTTGACGTGACGGGTCTTTCGCTTCTGAGGAAGGACGGCCATCCGTCTATTTATGGGTTTTCTGGGCGAGAGGGAATGGACTGCAGCCACTGGTGTCTGGCCGGCGTTCCAGATACTTGGAACCAACTCCTCTATAATGCTCTTATACGTTGAAGAGATCATATGATATGAATTATTATTGTATTGATTAATTTTATATCAATAATAGAAATGGCAATAAGCTGAAGAAGCACCTTCCTTAGTGTTGATTGAAGCACATGAATTTCTCATTAGAAAGAGGAAATGTTAATGGCTAAGTGCAGCCTAAACACAGTAAGATGTCTTACTGATCTTCCTTTGGCAGGCCTGAGGGTTCTTCTCTTCTTGCAAAGAGAGGGATGGCAATTGGTAGATCAGCTCCTAATTAAGTGTCCTCTATGCTTTATCCACTCAAGTATGGGTCCTTAGCCCCTCACTGGACCCTTGTTCCTTGTCTACACTCAATTGAGAAAGGTGAATCTGTCCCTTACTATGGACCAAAACAGGGCCCACCTGCTAGGGAAAGGTGTCTCCCATGTAGTTTGGTGTTGAAAATATAGAAATGATTTAATGAATCAATCCATCTTACACATAAGATCCCAACCCTTATCTAAGCATGTTACATTCCTGGTACTACGTAATAGAAATTCATCTTCTTTAAGAGGGATGAAAGACCTCCAAGAGATTTCTCTCATGATGATAAAAAAATAATTTCATAATAATCTGATTAAGGGAAGAGTTACAACTTAAAATAGTCTACTGAACAACAATTGACTCTTAAAGATTTGGCCCCACCATGACCTATTATCAAATAACTGTTCAACTTAAAAGTTTAAGCTCTTAGATGAGGTCCTTGAATGGGGTTTTAGTCTTTAATATGCCCTTTCACACAAAAGCCTACTGGTCTAGTGTTTAATCTATATCACTCTATTATAATTAATTAAAGGGTTATTTGCTAAAATGCCCCTATTATTTCATGAATTTATTAAAACCTATCTTATAGTTTGTATTTTACTAAAACATCCCCTATACTTTGTAATTGATTTACTTAATCGACATTCTATTAGATGAAAGTGGAAAATGACAGTTTTAACTCTAATACCCATTCAAATAAATTTAATCAAAAGAAACTAAGAACAAAAATATCATTTTTGCCCCTAGTAAAACACAAACAACCACTATATTTCTTTATTTGGTCAATTTTCTTTTCTATACAAAAAAAGTGTTAAGGGTACTTTTGGAATAAAAAAATCATGTTTTCATACCCTTGAACATTTTCCACTCAGTTTAGGGGTACTTTTGGAAAAAACAACCATGGGTCCATGCCCCTGAACATTTTCCACTTAGTTTAGGTGATTGTGTTACTATTTTCAGATGGCAAAACAAATAATTCTTAATGAAAGGTCAATTAAGTTAATAGGTTGCAAACTAAAATGGAAGGATGTTTTAGTAAAATACAAACTATAGGGTAGGTTTAAGTAAATATGTGCAATTATAGGGGGTATTCTAGTAAATGACCCTTAATTAAATTTCAGATATAGGTGGGCCTATGCTTGTCTATGCATCAAGCCCAAATAGAATTTTACACTAACTAACTGCTTAAACTTTTAAGTTAGAACGATTCTTTGAGGCCCACGTATGACAATATCCAAACTCACTACACCCACTCCCTACTAAAAGTAATTACCCAACACAGACCCGTATTACAATGGATCAGGTAACCCCACTACCTACAACTTTCTTCTATCATGACTTTCATTACAATTACAACTTCTCAACTACCAAGACTATAGGCCCACTAATTAATGACTCAGCCATTAGACATGTAATAAATCATGGGCCATGACAGCCTTCATCGTGGAGGCAATTGGGCCCAAAAAAATTAAGACCTTCCAGGAGATGATGGAGACCATTACACCCAAGAAAAATGGAGAGGAAAAACGATTATGGGCATTGGTCAAATGAGAACCATTCATTTCGATAGAATTTTTTCTTGATGGAGAAAGAAATCATTCATTCGAATGGATAAGAGTATTATCCTATATATCAATGGATAGCTAGATTTATTATGTATGGTTTTAAATTGGGAGTATTAAATAGGCTAAGTTCGTTCTTATCATTTAAAAATTATTTTTCGGATAAACAATGAAGGGTTGCCAAGGTTGGAGATATGACACTGAATTGAATGAAATGATAGACAAAATTCATATAACCGACCCCATATAGTTGGACAAGGCTTAGATTATGATGACGATGGTTCTGCGTCAAGAACCAGATTCATTCTAGAACGGATTAATTAGCTGAATTTGATAGCCGTCTGTGGTATCAAGCATTTTGCCTCATGCTTAACCTATTTTACTACTGCACGTCACATCTGCACCCCACAGAAGGTGCCCCACATACACATCTCTGGGAGATGTTCTTAATACACGGTTGTGATATGCTGTGGGGCACAGATGTGAATTCATCCATGTTTTTGTTAATTCCTAATTAATGTCAAGGATTAAGCACTTCGTACTCATTTGGGAGGGCTTTCATGCAACGGCTTTTGGAAAGCCAATGTGACCCCCTTACAAAAGCCTAGAAGCTATATTTGCTGAAAAAACTGGTTTTAAATACTTTATAATGTACATTAATTATGAATGTTAAAAAAAAATGGGCGATAAGTTTGGTATTCACAGCTTTTAATCTCAAAAGATGATGTACAATAAGAAGAGACAACATATTTGGCTTAACTTCCTTCTCTACACCAGTGAGAGGTGTAAATCAGGCCATGTTGGGCCGGAATGGCATGGGCAGCCCGCAGGCAGAGCCGGGCCATGCTTCCCTCCCCTAGGGTACTTGAGGGGGTTGGCCCGGCACGGCCCACGGCTCGAGCCCGTGCAGGCCAATGCCAGGTCGTATCATGCTACAGGCCTGGGCCGGGTGTGTTGTGGCCCGTGTCGTGGGCCTGGCCTGTGTCAGATTGAGCCTTGGGCCTAGACCAAACCAGGCCAAACTACTTCACTTTCCTTAACTCCTTTGAGCTTTGGGAACAAATTGGAAAAATAAAAAATCTAACAAAGAAATGAAAAAAATACTTAAATACTTAATAAAATATAAAATGGACAACAAATTAGAAAAAAAATAGGAATTTTATTTCTTGAATTTGAACAACACAATTTTCAATGGATGAATGAAATATAGAGAATGGAATATAATATAAAAAAAATATAATGCAATTATAAATTGAAAATAAAAACTACATTATTGAAAAAAATACAACTAATATAAATAAAATTGAAAAAAAATTACAATAATTTTAAAAATTAAAAAAATTACAATAATTGAAATATTAAGTATACAAAAAAATAAAAAATATTGACTTTATCATTTTTCTTTAAGTTCCACCTCTACGTGCATCTTCATCTCCTTGATTTTCATCCTCTACTTCAAGTGAAACATCAGGTGTAATGTCATGCCCTCCTTTGTTTTGTAATTTATCCTTAGCATCCAACCAATCTTTAAGGTAAATTCACATCTTCAGAGTTCAGACTTTCATCATTCATGTAGGTTCTTGTTGTCCAACACCCTAGTATGTGCACTAAAACAAGACTTCGATGAATTGTAGACACCGGAGGGGTTAGTAGATCATGTGTGATGGCGGCAAGGATTGGATATTTTTTTTTTTCATACCTTCTCCATCAGGCAAAAATATCAAAACTATCTCATTCCTTCGAATTGCAAGAATCAACTAAAGTAAAAAAACTTGTTTGTAATAAAAGTTAAGTTCACTAAATAAACTTGTTAATGAAGTGGTAGTAGATTTATGCCTCTTATTTATTAGAGACCAAATTTTGTCTTTGCCACTACTAGAATTATCTATTTCAAAAGTGGAACTTGCAACTGTACAAGATTTCCTATGCCCTACCACTTAAGATTCATATAAACTATACATTTCAAATAATAAACCATTAATTTCTTATTTTTTATTTCCAATTTTAATATTCATATTTTCACAATATGATTCAAGTAAAACTTCTAAACCATCTTTCCTAATCCTAAGATCTAATATTGTATCTAAGCAATAAAGGGGAGAAATTTTCCCCCAATATATTTTTTTTAAATTTATTTTCCATTATTTCAATAATACTTTGAAATTGTGGATTTTTCCTATATTTTGCAAAATATTCACTAATCATAAATAATTGATTAACTAAAAGTCAACTAGTTGAATAATAAACACCCAAAACTTCATTAGTTGCATCATAAAAAATTATAAAAAATCTTTTATACAAATTGTCATTTCCCAGTCTTCCTCAAATATCATATCGTGTGGCATTTTTGCATTATAAAAATAAGTAAGAATTGTTTATAAGCAATACAACTTTCTAACATAGAATAGGTAGAATTCCATCTATGTTGAACATCTAATACAAAATGTTTATATTTTAAACCATAATTTTGACATAAATATTTAAATTCTTGTTTTCTTTTCTATAATTTTTAATATATATTATACAATTTCTAATTTTAAAAATATGGTGAGAAATAATATTTAAAGCATCTTGAATACATAAATTTAAGATATAACATGCACATCTAATATACAATAATTTACCATCTAAATATGGTTTTAATTGAGATTTTAAAATATTTATTGTTGAATCATCATTACTAGCATTATCAAAACTAATAGAAAAAAGTTTATTTTCAATTCCATAAATATGTAAAGTATTTAAAATACCTGTAGAAATAATTGGGCCAATATGTGGCCATTCAAGCCTAGTCAAACTTAAAATTCTTTTATGTAAAACCAGTTTTCATCAATAAAATTACCAGTAACACAAATATAACTTATATTAAATATAGATGTTCAAATATCAGAAGTAATTGCAATTTTAGAACTAAGATTTGATAATATAGAAATTAAATTTTGTTTATACGAATAAAAAAAATTTAAAGCATCTGTTCTAATAGTATTTCTAGAAACTTTTTTAAATTGTAGATTTACAGATCTATGTAAAAATTTTTCAAGTTTCGTATCTTTAGCTAATAAAAATGGATGTTCATCATGCACAATATATTTTGTTAACTCTTGTCTCATTTTTTTTTGGGAATATTTAAAAGTACCAAAAATCTCACTTCCTATATGTGCTTGTGATGTTTCTTTCCCTTCTTCTTTCATCATATAGCGTTTCAACTTTCAAATGCCTACACAAGTGGTTAGTACCACCACTACTACTGTAG